GTATATCAAAGTACCTTTTGCTGCAAGGTGCATATAGAAGTCTAAGGTAAGAAATGTACCCTCTATACTTTATTTTTCATGCCCCTATCATGTTTGGTGTGCCTTAAATCTTACCTTTAAATGAAGACTCTATGGATTGTTTACAATTGAAGTTTTACACTAGGACCAGATCGTCCATACATGATTGGTCTTCTACAATAATAATGTTAAATTCTCTTTCATTTTAAATCTTTCTTTAGGGTCATATAAAGATTAGTTCTTTCAGAAAAGCTATTGCTTTGGTACATGACTTAGTCTAACCAATTGGGTAATGCTGCTTTGAAAAATAGTTTGTCCCTCTCCCCATTCCAGAAATGAATCCATCCAGTCAGAAAAAAAGATTATACTACTATTTGTAGATGATTGCTAAGGCTTGAAATAGGAAAGGGGAACGAAGGCAAAGAAAAGTTTCAAGTCCAGTAGTGCAGTGAATCCTTTGTGTTTGAGTCTTTTTTACACTTATTTCTGAAGTTAGTGAACTTTCATTGTCCTTGTGGCCTCATATTTATAGAGCTTCTTAACTGTTTTGTACTTCAGATTGTTTTTAGATATCATTGAAGATTGAGATGTACAAATTATGTTGAATTTAACCAGTTTCCCTTGGAGAAATTGCCTCTGATATCTTTCTAACTTAACCTTAGTGTGTTCTAGGAACAGTTTTCCATAAGAGGACAACTTCTCAATGATCATGATAGTTATTTAGTAAGAAATAATGGTTGTTAATCAAGTACATGTATGTCTTGTCATTCTCTGATTTCTCTGACTCAGATTCCTTAATTTTCTGTGATGTCTTAGAAATGGAAAGAATATCCTCTGGGCTTTCAGACTTTCAGCAACAACAGCCAATGGGATACCTCTACGTTCTAGTGTGTTCTAGTCTCTTGTATGTCCTGAAAGGCAGCAGGAGCATTTCTGGGGTCACACTGATATTTTGTTAAAGCAGAGTTTCCTGCATGGTTTATGGTGCTGCTCTAATATTTTCTCTTTAAAACTGTGTCAATTTTTGGAGAATGAATTTTTCAACCTTTTCATTGTGGAGGGTTTTTCCTACAAGGTAGTAATGGGCAGTGGATCAAAATCCTATCGTAAATGATTGAATTTTCAATGTCATAGTGTATGGAAATACTACTCCCTTTCCTTCACGTCTGTCTTCTTAGATGTTCTGTCTTTGTCATCATCTGCTCCAGCACATACTTTGGACTCCTTTACAGGTGACCTTCCTCCCTCCCTCCTCAATAGGTGTCCTCAGTGTTTTCTAACCATTTAAAACTGAATTTGACAAGTGGCTAAAAACTTAGTCTGAGACTTGTACTGAATATATGGTTAATTATAGAAACAACAATTTTAACAGTTACTCTGTTGACTGCTCTTTATGACTATACTTGTATGCCAGGAGGCAGCAGCCTATACACCATTAGACTCTTTACAAGCAACCAATGAACCAGTTGCAGTGGATGCAGTCGTCACAGTAGTCTTGCCTGGGCTGGACTGGGCTGGGCTGTGGGGAGCATTCCCCTTCAGGGGAGTTTCCACAGCTCAGCCCAGGCTCCAGTCTGGCTAGAGAGCATCCAGCCCATTCCTTGCCTCAGTGCTACCTTTTTCTGGGCAAGTAGCCAAGAAGTGACTTTATACGCAGTGAGTAATTCAGATAAACTTAACAGCTATAGCTGCCGAAGAGTGGAGAATGTTGACCACCATTGATTTAATTCTCTAGCGTAAAAGCAATGGAGAGCAGTGTGTGCGTGAGCCCACAGTCACCTGTGTTTCTGGAAGCTCTCACAGTGGCGGATTCATAGGCACTTGGGCTGTACTTTGAATGACACACTTGTGGCTTTATTAGATTCACTAGTTTTTAAAAAATTGTTGTTTGTTTCTTTTCATTAAAGGTTTAATCAGATCAGACAGCATCATTTTGTATTTAATGACAGAAACGTTGGTACATTTTTTCATGAATGAACTTGCATTCTGAAGCAAGAGCCTACAAAAGGCACCTGTTATAAATGAAAGTTCTGGCTCTGGAGGCCAGTACTCTGTGGAGTGTCAGAGCAGCCAGTGATTGTTCCAGTCAGTGATGCCTAGTTATATAGAGGAGGGTACACTGTGCACTCTTCTAGGTGTAAGGGTATGCAACTTTGGATCTTAAAATTATGTACACATACACACTTTATATATATGTATGTATGTATGAAAACATGAAATTAGTTTGTCAAAAATGTGTGTGTTTAGTATTTTAGCTTAGTGCAACTATTTCCACATTATTTATTAAATTGATCTAAGACACTTTCTTGTTGACACCTTGAATATTAATGTTCAAGGGTGCAATGTGTATTCCTTTAGATTGTTAAAGCTTAATTACTATGATTTGTAGTAAATTAACTTTTAAAATGTATTTGAGCCCTTCTGTAGTGTCGTAGGGCTCTTACAGGGTGGGAAAGATTTTAATTTTCCAGTTGCTAATTGAACAGTATGGCCTCATTATATACTTTGATTTATAGGAGTTTGTGTCTGGGTCCCAAGAACATCTACTGGGGGTGACTGTTTTAAAAAACCTAAGTAACTTGGGGAGCCAGAGCATTTCACACCCATATAGACAACTATCATACCTGTATATCCCCTAATACATGGAACATAAATTTCATTTCAGCTTTATGCATTAATGTATTGAAGAGGCAGGCTTTTTTCCAGTAATAATACTGCACATCTAAGGTTGCTATTCAGTAAAATTAATAGAAGAGATAATTATTGAATGCCTTGGAATATGTAGCGATAAGAGGCCAAATTTTTCATGTTTGTGAGCACGTCTTTCAGATACTCACCAATGGAGAAATTCACTTTAGACCTCTAGACCCCAAAACCAAGTTAGCAAGTGACAAAAAGTAAATTATTAATAGTTTGTAAAGTGGATGCTGGTCTTATAAAGCTCCTATTCACATGAACCCGATGGTTAATTAGAACTTGCTGTCTCCAGAAAAGGGAATGGAAAGAATAACTATGTATCTTCTTTTCATGTAATTTGGTCACAGAATAAGGTATTCAAGTTAAGTCTAATCCAAGTCTTAGAGATCTTTAAGTATCCTAAAATAGCAGCCCTAAGTAGTCATCATGTAAAGAAGTTGACTTTCAGGAATGTCAGCATTGACCTCCTCCTTGCTGCTATTACTCAGCTAACCATAACTTGCCATTCTTAAAAATAAAAAAGCTCCCACCCAGAAATTCTAGTAATACTCAGTTTTGACCTCTTAACTGCTTCCATGTGGGATTTCTTTTCAGCTTTTAACCATTGGAATTTTCTACCTGGTATGTTCCTCTCTGGAAAATATCAATTTGGAAATGCTGCCTTTCAAATCAATGCCATGATTTTCCATATTGTTGAGTTTGTTGTTGCTGTTCCAGAAGTGTCCCCATTTTACAACTTTATGCACACACCTGGCAAATCGTTAACATGAGCATTCAACAGTGGTGGGGTGGGGGGTGGGGGGCTCACCAACAGAACTGGCCAGCTGACATTGCCTGAAAAGGCACCCTTTGAGGGCCAGTTGTGGGGTTGGTAAGCACAGTTATGAAAATTTCTATCTAGCCTCCGTTTTGAATGGTTTTAAGAAATTTTGTATATGGAGGATGGAAATGCTTATATATTTATTGAAAATCCTTTTATTTGAAATTAAAATTATTTGGTAAATAATTGTTTGATATTTGGGGAGGGTTTTGGAGGGGAGGTAATGTCACTGATAAATTAAAAGCCTGTTGATTTTGCAGAAAGGTACTGTTAGTGACTGATAGGATGCCTTTGTTTTGTACATGAACCAAATCTTTGTTTTACGTTTCTTTTATCCAAAATATTTAGGCATCTGACATTTTCAACCAGAATTTCAATTACATACTGTGATTTTTATTTGTTGCAATACATTAAAATTTCAGAGGTACTTTGGGGCTCAAAAGCTAGGATTTCTAAGTCAGTATGTGCATTTCACATGATAAAGCTGTTAATGGTGAGCAAAGTATTATATACTAACTAGATTTTTCCACATCTGTATAGTATATTATATGTATTTTGTGGTATTGAGAGTATAGAAAGTTTAGAGTGTCAAACATGCGTTTAATGTGTATTTTTAAACAAATTTATGGCAATTAAAATATTTGGAGACAAGGGTATCACATTTCAATTTGTAAAGATCTTTTTAACTTTACTGTGTCATTAAGATGCTTTGTACAATGCCAAACCATAGCTGGAGAAACTAAGTTTAATAAATATCAAATAGATTTTCTGTATTAAAGTTAATGAACACTGTGCTCTTTATATTTCTTCAACTGAGCCCTTTTCATGCAATTCTTGTTTTGTGTCTTAAGGTCCATTACTACTCTTTAAAAGTCTGTTCCTGCCAGCTGAGGTTTCATTTTCTGATTACAGAAATTCTGAACTTGCTGGCCATGGGTCCTTGTGCATATGTCAAAATTCACCTTGTCCCAACATAAATCTCTTTTGGTGCTTTTGGTGGCTTGGGCTTTTATTGCTTTATTAAACTAGATCTTTCTTTCTGTTCTACCTTATGTTCAGGCAGTCATAGACAAACCTGGGTGCTTCATTAGATGGCAAGTGCCAAGCTTGACCTTTTTTTTTTTTTTTTTTTTTTTTGGGAGACAGAGTCTCTCTCTTTCTCACCCAGGCTGGAGTGCAGTGGCATGATCTCGGCTCACTGCAGCCTCCGCCTCCCAGGTTCAAGTGATTCTCCTGCTTCAGCCTCCCAAGCTTGACCACCTTTGACACCTCCCTGAAGAGTTATGGAATGAAGGGATCCACAACTTAAGAACTTGCTGAAGTTGATTACGGAGCTGTTGATTATGTAGCTCTCACCACACTTTCCAGATTGAGAAGTTAACACATTATTGGGCAATGCTGTTTTTTTTAGTATACAAAGTGAATCCTTCTTTCCCTCAAAAGCTTGAATTCCAAACTGCTAAAATTTCAATTTGAGACATTTAATAGTATCCATAGAAAAATAAACTCTAAATTGACAAGTTTAGTTATACTTATCCATATATCAACATTCTAAGAAGAAATGGAGACCAATTTAAAGCATACATCTGCCTTTAAATATTAAAAATACAAGATTGCTTCACTTGTGTGTCTCCAGCCAAAATGCAGCTAATCAATATTCCATAGAACGGAGCATTGTCAGAGGTGACTGCTGTCCTTTCTTCCCCTGGTATGTACATCATTCCTGGGCCACACTTAAGGAACAGCGTCTTTTTCTAGGGGAAAAGAAAGGGTAGTTTAAGACTGGGTCTAGGAATGACCAGGGCCACCTATGCTGCATTTCCTTCCTCTTCACTTGATCTATCCAGTTCAGGAAAGACTGAAGAATGGAAAGGCACCACTCTTTCATGGTACCCACATGGAGCTGTTCTTGGCTCCTAACGCCTAATGGATTTTCCATGGAGCTCCCAGTCTCAGCCTAGAACTCCTCCATCCCAGCTTTATTCTTAGGTTCATGTGTCCCCTCGTCACTCCTCTGCCCAGCTTTCCAGGGCTCTCTGGCCCAACCCTACTCCCAGGTTCGTGGAGTACCTGCATAGCCTTGTGATACACTCAGAATCATCCCGGCAGGAGGCTCCAATGGGCCTGAGGGAAACCCCTCTCCAAAATGGGGTCATCCTCCGTGGCCTTCTCTTTGCTGAACTCACTTCTGGTATTGGGGAGCCATCTATCTGTAGGGCAAAGACATTCAGATATGGAAGTGTTGACACCCTGCTGCACACCTTGGAAGAATGATCATTCACCAGATGCTGTAGACTCAGAACAGAGGAACCATTCCTCAGGACTGAGTCTAGCTTTCAAGTTCCACCACCACTATCATCTCCACACTCCACACATACACATATGTATCCTTCCCTCCTTACCTGGCCCAACAGCAAGAGGAAGATCATGAGGACTGCACAAAGTTTGAGGTGCCACATCTTGACAGAGGGAGGATGTTGGAGCCTGAAAGCCAGGGACAGTTCCTACTTCCTTTTATAGACTGACATCGACTCTTGCATTGTTACCAGGTGAGATGGGGGCAAAGTTTGTGTTTGTAATCAGAATCAATTTAATAAGTTAATATCTACCAGAGGAATGTGCTCAAGGGCCGCCTCTCAGGCACGTTGTATTTACTGATCCCTCATCTGGACTTTGAGTGATTGTGTTGCTGGCATGGACCCTTTTGCCCATTTTACCAAAAGTCAGCACTGCCCTTCCTTCCCTTTAAAAGCCACGTGAAACCATTGAGGGAGGTCAAGCAACTAGCCACATTGCTATTCCAAAATAGCTCAGTGAGATCACTCCCATAGAATTCCAATAATGAAGTCTTCAGAAATAATGTTGACCCCGTTGGGCCTTGTCTAGGAAAGCAGCACTGATCTATTGTGTACAGGCAATTGGATAAGGCCCTTATCTCCTTTCTGTGGACGGATGCTTCAGCAAGGTCTACAGTTCCCCAGATCCTCCACTTGCTTAGACGGACTATCACCCTAATTTGCAGCAGTTCATCTCACTAGTAAAATGAAGACCCAGCTGTGGAAAGTTCAAAGTCTGGCCACCTGCCCTCTCAGGGGAATGGCTGGATGTGAGACTTACTTGGACCACAGGTGATGAATAATTATAGGTTTCTTTTTGTCTTTAAGCACATGCAGATGAGGAGGTAACAAGATCTCCTAAATCAGAGGGAGAGCTTGTGTAGTGACTGTATTAAGCGCCTTGAATTATGGGCTTTCTTCCCAGTAGTTGAGTGGGGCCTTTCCTTCCGGCAGATTCAGGGCAGCAGGCATAGGGATGAGATATCTCCAAAGCCCAAAGCATCCATCAGTTGAAGTAGGAACTGCTGCAGATTTTTTTTTCTTTTTTCTTTTTTTTTTTTTGAGATGGACTCTTGCACTGTCACCCAGGCTGGAGTGCAGTGATGCGATCTCAGCTCACTGCAAGCTCTGCCTCCCGGATTCACCCCATTCTCCTGCCTCAGCCTCCCGAGTAGCTGGGACTACAGGCGCCCGCCATGACACCTGGCTGATTTTTTGTATTTTTAGTAGAGACGGGCTTTCACCGTTTTAGCCAGGATGGTCCTGATCTCCTGACCTCATGATCCGCCTGCCTCAGCCTCCCAGAGTGCTGGGATTACAGGTGTGAGCCACTGCACCCAGCCCACTGCTGCAGATTTCTAGACCAAGGGAGGACATGTATCTAAACCATGAGTAGTTATGGGTATTAGTGAAATGACATGGGCATTTTAAGTTTGAGGGGAAAGGTGTGAATTCAGAGTAAGGAGATTCATTGAACTTTAGATCTTCCTATGACCTGGGAGGATAATAAGCTTAAGACAAATACAACAAATTCTTTCTGCCAGGCATCACACTGAAAACATGGCTAATACTTCTTCCCAAGGGCCGTCTCATCTTCACACGTTGGGTATTTGGGTAAGAACCTGCTTGTTCCTTTACCCCAGGAAAAAGTGGAGGAGATGCACAACAGCTGAAGGTAGAAAAGGATGGCCACTGACTGGCTTCTTGCCAAGGGAGAAGCAGATGATTTGATGGACCTCAGAACTGGAATTGGGCAGGATGTGACCACAGATCTGACTGTCCTGGTTCTAGTCCTCTCAGAATCATGGAGGGGGATGCCACTGCATGCACTTTAGGAACATTGAGAAGAGACCTATATACCAACTGACCAGTTGAGACTAGTTATCTGCTCCCTCCCTTCACCCCTGAGCTTGGATACTGGATGATCCCAGACGGGGCCTAACTGGGAACTTTTGTTGGGAGGGGAAGTGGCTAAGTGGTGACCTAGTGAGCATTGGGTAAGAACACAAATGTGATTAGATAAGCAAAGGACTGAACAACGTGATGTCCTAGAGCCAGTTGGGTCTGTGGCCTCAGTGCCAGCCTCCCCTTTACCAGTGTAGAGTGACGTGCCAAATGGGATTTGGAAACTGTTCATCCAAAAGATGAATTCTCCACTTCTCCATTTCTGCCTTCCTGTACTTCTAGCAGGATCAAACTAGCCTGTTGTGTTAATTTGTAAAGCCGATAACACAGGGAAAGAAAGCTTGAGGCCCTTGCCCCTTTGTGTGTAGGGGGAAAGGACCATTCATCTTCATGAGTGTGACAACACTGCAGAGGACTTTGGTTCAAGCTTCTATGTTGTATGCCAACCTCTCCCCAAAAGAAAAAATCCATTAGTCACTGTTGAAGGAACCACTGTTGGGGAAGGGGAAAGTATTTTAACATATGTCTACGTGAACTCTAGTTGTTTTAGTTAAGTATGGCACAAAAATCAAACTCAAAGCAACATCCGGGCAGCACTTAGCTGAATTGACAGCATTTGTCCACAGATATCCCATACTTGAGAGACTGGGAAGGCCTGTTCTTGAAATTTAAAAAAAAAAAATTCACGGACTCTACAATCTAAGTATTTTGCTCAGTGAACTACATGCTCCTTATCCAATAGAAAGGCCTAAGTAGCCTTTAACAGTTTCAGCTATAAGAAGATAGAATGCTTGACTGGTAAGCAGTAGCCTGGGGTCTACAGAGTGCAACTGCCCATAGGCCAGCCCTTCCCCTCTTTGGGCTTTAGTCTCCTATTCTGTCACTTTGGGGGTTCAAATGATTAATTTACAAGAAGAAAATGAGACTGAAGCAGATTTGATAGCCGAGAGCTTGGTAACTCTGGATACAACTCTCAGAGATTTTATGCTTCTGAGGCAAATGCTTAGGATGAAATGGGAGAAAGAGGGTATAGCTACATGAGCAGCTGTTTGAAACACATTCCAGGTCGATCACTGGGAGTTGGCAGTAATTGGAAACTTTTTGCTGTCCCTAAGCAGAAGATGCCTAATAAAAGATGAAAGACTCTGAAATGGAAAAACTTTACCAGGTAAAATTTCAACAAAAGGTCAAAGTGTATTTGCTTTTTTGCTAGCTGGAACTGGCATAGACTTTTGGGCCTACCCTAGGCCTGCATTTTGAGGACTGTTTGAAAACTAAAAGAGCGAGGGCATTCCTTTCACCAGACTCTGCAGCCCATAGATTAAAAACGCTTGTGGGGGCAGGAGCATGTGGAGAAAGAAAGGTTAAATGGAGCAAGTGGTTGTGCCAGAGTAGCAGGTAAGGGATCCATACCCAGGATTGGAGGCTCCAGATGGAGCACTGAAGCCCACAGCAGTTGCCCATCCTTAAAAGGCTTTACTCAGGTCCTCCTCTGAGGACTTACGCAAATAGAATGTCCCCTAAAATGATCCCAGATCATGTATAGGAGCACTGAGCGACTAAAACTCACCACATTCCACACACCCACCACCTCAGCACTCCTGCTACACAGGTGAGATCCATTCCTCCAAGCTTAGAGAGGGAAGCCCTTTGATGAGACACAGGCTTAAAGCAGACTAATTTCATCCAAAGCAGAAACTCAACACCTCACAGGGCTTACGGCACAGTCATGTCAGTAGAGCACTCCAGGAATAAAAAGAATAGGCTCAATGCCTAGTTTGGGCTGAGAAAATGGCTTTCAATCTTTTGAGCTGGTCTCTCCAAAGGAGTCAAAGAACCAGGGAGAAATAGTCTAAGTGTAGAACAAGGCGAGCAAGATGGGAGAGGGTGGCCATCTACCCGGCAGCTTGGGGCAAACACCAGAGGCAGAAAGACATTAACGGCCTCTCAAAGCAGTGGTCCTCCCCTGGGCTGTGAACTTTTTGAAGCTATGCACTGTAAGGATGGGTCCACAGTTTTCATCATTCTCAAAGAAGTCTATGACCCAAATACGTTGCAAGACCTGGGAATAAATCTGGACAGAGAAAAATGGGAAAACTGGCCTGTCTTTTGGGGGTGGGGTAGAAGAGTTCCTCAGTTAGTTGCCCTATGTTAAGCCCATACCATCCTGACAGACCTTGTCACTCATTTCACCATCATCACAGCCCAAGAACTTTATAATATTTCCATGTTATGGGTGCGAAGCTTAAGGCTCATGAAGGTAGGTTTCTTCCCTGTATCACATAATGAGGAAGTGACGGGCTAAGAGGACAAGCCCAAGATTGTAAGACTCAGCCTTCTCCCCATATCCTGCCTCACAATGTAGTTCATCTTTTAGGTTTTGTTTTGAAGTCTCGCTCTGTCACCCAGGCTGGAGTGCAGTGGCACAATCTCTGCTCACTGCAACCTCCACCTCCCAGATTCAAGTGATTCTGCCTCAGCCTCCTGAGTAGCTGGGATTATAGGTGTGTGCCACCATGCTGAGTTTATATTTTTAGTAGAGACGGGGTTTCACCATGTTGGCCAGGCTGGTCTCAAACTCCTGACCTCAAGTGATCCACCCACTTCAGCCTCCCAAAGTGCTGGGATTATAGGCATGAGCCACCGCATCCAGCCATGTTTTGAAGTATCTTAACTTTTGATTCTTAACAGGCAATAGCAGTATTTAGGATAATAAAGATACAGTCTGGCCAGGCACGGTGGCTCACGCCTGTAATCCCAACACTTTAGGAGGCCGAGGCAGGTGGATCACGAGGTCAAGAGATCAAGACCATCCTGGCCAACATGGTGAAATGTCATCTCTACTAAAAAAAAAAAAAAAAAAAAATACAAAAATTAGCTGGGTGTGTTGGTGGTGTACGCCTGTAGTGCCAGCTACTTGGGAGGCTAAGGCAGGACAATCACTTGAGCCCGGGAGGCGGAAGTTGCAGTGAGCTGAGATCGCACTACTGTACTCCAGCCTGGTGACAGAGCAAGACTCCATCTCAAAAAAAAAAAAAAACAGTCTGAGTCAGAATCAAAGTTGCTGCTAGCAGGAAGAGTTTCTAAAAACAGATCTCAGATCTCAGATCCCATGTCATGTATGGTACTGACTGAGCTATGACAACTCATCATATTCCACATACCCACTACCACAAGTGAGATCCATGCCCTGAAGCTTAGAGAGAAGCCTAAGAAACTAGAGGCATAAAACTGCCAACCACACCTACCCCCACCATCTGCCGGTGGGCGAAGGGAAAATGGTACCTTTAATACCAAAAAGATAATTTAAAGGCTTTAGATCAGGGGTAAACCTTTTTTCATAAAGGGCCAGAGTAAATATTTGAGGCTTTATGAACCACATACGGTTGAAAACATTGTTGGCTTCCTGGCACAGAAACAGAAAACTGCTGTGGAGGCCAAGAGATCACCTCATCCGTTTTATAGCTGATATCCCTTCAGGCTAAGGCCCGCCTTAGGAGGAAAGGCAGTAGAGCAAGCTTGTCCAACTGCAGTCCTGGCAGCAAGCGGCCCAGGATGGCTTTGAATCCCACCCAACAAAAATTTGTAAACTTTCTTTAAACATTGAGGGTTTTTTTGCAAACTTTTTAAAAGTTTATCAGCTATTGTAGTGTTAGTGTATTTTGCGTGTGGCCCAGGGAAGCCAAAAGATTGGACACCCCTGCAGTAGAGCATAGCTTTAAGAGCATCACTTGAGTGCAAGACTCCACCATTCACTGCTGTATAATTTCTGGCAAATTACTTCATCTCTCTGTGCCTGTTTCCTCATCTGCCAGATGAGGATACGTTAAAGGTGCTTGTGAAGTTTAACAGTTCATTTGTGTAGCTAAGAAGAGTATTTGAGGCCTGGAGTGCCATGGCTCATGCCTGTAATCCCAGCACTTTGGGAGGCGGAGGTGGGCAGATCACCTGAGGTCAGGAGTTCTAGACCAGCCTGGCCAACATGGTGAAACCCTGTCTCTACAAAAAATACAAAAAATTAGCCGGGTGTGGTGTCTTGCACCTGTAATCCCAGCTACTCTGAGGGTGGGGCAGGAGAATCGTTTGAACCCAGGGGGCAGAGATGGCAGTGAGCCGAGATCGCACCACTGCACTCCAGCCTGGGTGACACAGCAAGACTCCATCTCAAAAAATAAAAGTGTACCTGACACATACTAATTACAATATAGTTACTAGACTTTATTGTTGTTATGGGAGCAGAGGGCCAAGAACCAGCACTCCCCATAGCCCATGTCACCCACAAATGGTTAGCTGCAGGAGTAGCTGCAGCTACTTTCTTGTAGATTATGGAACAAAGGGCGAGCTCTGCTCTTTCACCAAAATCCAAGACCAGGCAAAACTTAAAGACTCATGCTGAGGAGGCGCGCTTCATTAACTTGAATATTTAGTGGTCACACAGGATTCTACTCACAAAAATGTAAAATCACAACAGGGCAGACCATAGGAAGTTTATTGTGTCTTTGAGACACTACAATGCAGACTCCTCTTCCAGAAAAAGGTCTTTCAGAGACAGGGAACCGTCATCCGGATGCATTGCTCATTTGTCATTTTCATAGGCAGCTGGATTCTTCCTCTTGGATTTCTCGACCTCTTCAGTCCCCCATTTGTAGATAAGATAAAACACTACAAATTCTTTAAAAATTAAGAGAGTAAACAGAGCACATATATAAGACATATAGAAGAAAAAAAAAGGTCTCAGTCCTGTTGTATTCTTTAAAGTATACACTTAAGTAGTTCTTAGCATATCCAAGGCCGTGCAACTATCATCACTATCTGCTGCACGTTTAATTCAAAGCATTTCACCACTGGTAAGAACTCGATAAAGATGACCTCAGAGGAACACGCTGGAATCACCCGAGTGACCTTGGGCCAGTCATTTCAGTTCTGTAACTCAGTTTTCCCCGTGTAAGATCGGGAGGATAATATGACCAGCTCAAGGGCGGTCAGGAATATTCAACGAGAAAGGTGTGTACGGCAAGTTACAGAGCGCCTGCCCGGCCGCCAGCGCTCAGAGGGGAGACGCAGGGACTGCTGCTGCTGCTGGGGTTCAGCCTCCCGCTCCCACAGGCCCAGGGCACTCACGCGGCACCATGCGAAAGAAAGACTCCCGAACGCGGCGCAGCATGTTGGGGACTCCTTTACTGAAAACGTGCGGCACGGCGCGCTGCTCGAAAGGTGACAAGCTGTAGGTGATCACATGCCGAATCCGCGTCAGATTCCCAAACTCGCGGCCCATCGTGGCAACGGCCCTGCAGGACCGAGAGCGGACAGGAGCTTGGCTCGCTTTCGCAAAGCGCCGCAGTCCCCGCGGCGGTCCGTCCCCAACCCCAGACTCCTGCCCCTGGACTCCTTATCCTACCCCAGCCCAGCGGGGCGCCCATAGCCTCTCAGGGTCCACCAACACTGCACAACCAGCCTCCCACTCACGCACAGGTGTTACCTCGCCCTCCGCAGTCACCGAGCCGGTTGACTCTTTCGTCACTTCCGGCAAGATTGGAAGCGGCGCTTGGAGGTCGTGAGGTAACTTCCGGGAGATACCATTTTCCTGCTGTCTCTAAGGGGTGATGCCTTTGTCCCAGAAAGAAGTGGCCTGACTGGGTGACCCGTAGGTGGGCGGTGCCTTGGAGGCCCCGCCGAGGCCGGTGGGGTGGAACCTAGCGGAGGACGTCGGGGATTGAACTGACTTTGGGGGACAGTGGACAGGCGGAGGCGCTCACACTTCTCCTCAGCCCTCGGCCTTCCTGTGGAATCCCAGTCAGGAAGCGGCCGAATGCGGGAGGCGGGTGAGGGAACAACGAGGTGACGAGCAAGGGGTCTGCCGACCTCGGGGCCCGCGCTGGCCAGGAGCTTGGGGCCTGCGAGTTCTCCCAGCTGTGGACAGAGCGCCTCTGAGCCCCGAGACCGGACCGCCCCACAGCAAAGGAGCACGAGGTTTTATTTAGCCTTGGCCAGTAACTCAAAGGGGGCTCTTGTTATTTTCAAGCCATCAGCGACCCCAGCACCACAATCAGGGACACACATCTAAGGCTTCTCTTGGTAACCTCTGTTTTAGAGTCCACTGGCAGGCTATAAACGTTCCCAAGAGATAATACAAACGTTTCCTCAAATTCAGCCACAAAAATAATCAAATAATCGTCAACTGATGAATGCTGAGGCCGCCTCGACAGCAGCCAGCGTCCTCCCCAGATGGTTTGCGTGGGGTGGGGGGTATCACGATGCCCCAGTTCTTTCCTCTCCCCACGTGAGAAGCAAGGAACGTCGGGTGAGAGGCCTTACTGTGTTTTCCCTGAAGTGCATTCTGCTTGATGATGCTGGTGTCCTGTACAGCTTGCCATGAGGCGTCTGTCAGTGTTGTTAATGGAATTGCTGGCCATGTTTAATCGAGGACTAAGCTCTCATTCAGCAGCTGGGTGTGTTTTATAACACTGCTTACGGCCCACGGAGGCTCGGCAGGCAGTCAACTTGTATTTTGCAGACATACCTTAGTTTTCTCATATACGTACTGACAAACTGGCTTTGTATCTTGTACTATGTGGGTTGACTTTCTTCCAGCATAGTCTTCTTCGGGGTGGCGCTGGATATCCCCTCATTTCAGCTTTTCATGGTGCTCCTTTGCCTCATTTTTTAAAACCATAATGCCTAGGCTGGTCTCAGCTCCAAGGCAAGAACAGAATTACAGGTAAGGACAGAAATATTGTAGCGAATTCTACGACCATTTGGGTGAATAATAATAATAAAAAAACATTCATTTATTTTATAGCATCTGCAAACATCCGAAAACCTTTCAATCAAAGTATGTATAGATGAGTGTGCAGACCACAGTAAGGACATCAAGTTGTTATATTTAAAATTAAGTCAAGGTTAAAGGCGATGTCCTCTTTTAAGAACATTGCAAATAAAATTCCAGTACTCCAAGTACATATTCTGTACCCAGCCACCTGGAAGGACTGAGAAACCTAACGGTTTTCTGCTCTCTGGAACTTCTATGCCAGTTGTGACTTTCTCACCCCTCAAATTAACATGCAGCGAATAATTACATATTGTAAACACCTGGAAGTGGAAGGGGCTGTGAGGATAAATTGAGAGGAAGAGTAACCTAATACCATAAGTTGCATACCAACAGATCTGAGTATCATCATGAATAATTGGTTAGCTTTTCCACATGCCTCAGAAGTTTCAGCAGGCACCTTGCAAACGTCTTAATCCAAATTTCTTTAAAAATGAGAGATTTTATTTAAGATAATTCCTCAATTTATCTTAGACTTTCAGCTACATAGCTAGTCCGGTAGTATAACAATAACAGGTTTTAAGAAATGCCAGGGGAAAAGAGAGGAAAGCTAAATAACCAAATAAATCTGTCTCTAATGAACTAATTGGCTAAATAAGGTGTTATCAGCTGCTCGATATACAGCTGATAAAAATCATCTTCAGCTAGGCATACTTGAGGCCTGATTACAGAAGCAACCCTAGTCCACCCACACACCTGAAATTTATTTAAAAGACTAAGCTAGGCTCTTCCTGGCTTTTAGGAAGAGGACTGGCATGGAGAAATATGTTCCTCACTAGTTCTCCCAGGCCATGGCGCTTCCCAACAAATTTCTCCTTTGGTTTTACTGCTTTGCCTGGCTGTGTTTTCCTGTTAACCTTGGTTCTCAGGCTTCTGGGGGAGATGCTCAGATTGCTGCTAGTGCTGAGTTGGAATCTGGGGCTACACCTTGGTCCTTGCTGCAGCCTATAGATGAGAGAGACAGAGCTGGCCTCCTTCCCCCGCTTTTCAAAGTTCTATCTGTTGGGCGAGGTGGGGCACCTAGGCTGCAACCAGACTCCAGAGCTTTGCACTACATGAAGAATCTCTATAAGACATACGCTACCAAGGAAGGGATTCCTAAATCCAATAGAAGTCACCTCTACAACACTGTTCGGCTCTTCACCCCCTGTACCCAGCACAAGCAGGTTCCTGGAGACCAGGTAACAGGTATGTAAGAGCAGATTGGTTAACTGGGTGGAGGGAAGATGATAGACACTTCTGCATTTCAATTACAGAAAAGAGCTGAGCCTAGTTCCTTGAATTGCATTTTATTTTGCATAAAACTCAATATCCAGTTGAAACAAATTTGGGACTTGAGCTTATTGTTTCTTCCTAATGCTCTCATTGGTTAAGGTGGGCTAATATGATGGAATTTTAAAGCAACACCAGAGACTTAATGGCTTTCAGGGCTGAGGGGAAGTGCTGCTAGAGAATGTTAGCATCTCTTTCTAGTCCACCAAGCTTTTGGCCCAGGAATGGGCCTTAAACTTCTCTTACAGCTATTGGTGTGACATGTTAAATAGGGTATTTTTCTCGTTTGTTACTTTCTGTGAGAGAAAAGCTTAAAGTTCCCATTTGGAAGAGTCAGTGCTTACAAGAACAAAGTATCAGTCCACAGTTTCACTCAGCAGTTGGGTGTGGTGCTTTAAAAAATTATAACGTAGTGAAACCCCATCTCTACTAAAAATACAAAAATTGGCTGGGTGTGGTGGCGCATGCCTGTAGTCCCAGCTACTCGGGAGGCTGAGGCAGGAGAATCGCTTGAACCAGGGAGGCAGAAGTTGCAGTTAGCCGAGATTGCACCACTGCACTCCAGCCTGGTGACAGAGTGAGGCTTCATCTTAAAAAATAAATAAATAATTCTATCTACTAGCTCTTGATTTAAAACCATTCTAACTCAACAGGGTAGTTGTATCTGCTTAAAACCCTTTCTCCTTCCTTAATATCATATTTTAATGCAGTGGTTTTAGAGCATCCGTTTTTCCTCTCAAGTGTTCTAAATTAACTAGGACAATTACATTGTTTTAAATTGACTTTCTTCACTAGGGCTTAGAATGTCATCTTAATAAGTCTGATAAGTGTTTTTATTATGGTTTTCCCTCTAGAGACTATCCAAGAGAAAAATACTACTTTCCTTATCAGCTGCTTCTGTGTTTGGAGCAAATTGCTCAGAATGAAGCTTCAGGCTGAGCACAGTGGCTCATGCCTGTGATCCCAGCACTTTAGGAGGTTGAGGTGAGAGGATCGCCTGAGCCCAGAAGTTCGAGACTAGCCTGGGCAATATAGCGAGACCTTGTCTCTACAAAAACAAAAAATTAGCTGGGCGTGGTGGCTCATGCCTGTAGTCCCAGCTACCTGGGAGGCTAAGGTGAGAGGATCAGTTGGTCCTGGGAGATTGAGGCTGCAGTGAGCCATGATGGTGCCACTGCATTCCAGCCTGGGTAACAGTGAGACCCTATCTCAAAAAAAAGAAACTTCAGAATGTAGTGCTTCCCTGTTACTTTAATTCACCATCAAATCTGACTTTCTGGAGATAAAATGTCCAGTATGGTTGCTAGGAATTAGTAATGGTACCAATTGCCTGCCTTTTCTGTATTAACCCCCATTTTTTTTTTGAGGCTTGAGAAAGTGGGGGAAAAGAGAAGGGAGAAAGCATAGCATATTACGAAGTACTATTTCTTTGACTTGACTACCTGTTATGTTGACTCATATTCAAGCACTACTGGTAGATTATTTTTCTTCTTAGGAATCCTTCCATCAGTGGACCTGTTATTTAACCTGGATCGCATTACTACCGTTGAACACTTACTCAAGTCAGTCTTGTTGTACACTATCAACAACTCAGTTTCTTTTTCCTCTGCTGTCAAATGTGTGTGCAACCTAATGATAAAGGAGCCAAAGTTTTCTAGCAAGACTCCCCACAGAGCTCCGTACTCATTTACCTTTAACTCACAGTTTGAATTTGGAAAGAAACACAAATGGATTGAGATTGATGTGACCAGCCTCCTTCAACCTTTAGTGGCCTCCAACAAGAGAAGTATTCATATGTCTATAAATTTTACATGCATGAAAGACCAGCTGGAGCATCCTTCAGCACAGAATGGTTTGTTTAACATGACTCTTCTGGTTCCCCCGTCACTGATCTTATATTTGAATGACACAAGTGCTCAGGCTTATCACAGGTGGTATTCCCTTTACTATAAAAAGAGGCCTTCCCAGGGTCCTGACCAGGAGAGAAGTCTGTCTGCCTATCCTGTGGGAGAAGATGCTGCTGAGGATGGGAGATCTTCCCATCACCGTCACCGCAGAGGTCAGGAAACTGTCAGTTCTGAATTGAAGAAGCCCTTGGTCCCAGCTTCCTTCAATCTGAGTGAATACTTCAAACAGTTTCTTTTTCCCCAAAATGAGTGTGAGCTTCATGACTTTAGACTTAGCTTTAGTCAGCTGAAGTGGGACAACTGGATTGTGGCTCCGCACAGGTACAACCCTCGATACTGTAAAGGGGACTGTCCAAGAGCAGTTGGACATCGATATGGCTCTCCAGTTCACACCATGGTACAGAACATCATCTACGAGAAGCTGGACTCCTCAGTGCCAAGACCGTCATGTGTACCTGCCAAATACAGCCCCTTGAGTGTTTTGACCATTGAGCCCGATGGCTCAATTGCCTATAAAGAGTATGAAGATATGATAGCTACAAAGTGCACCTGTCGTTAACAAATGGTCCTCTTAAAACCTTGAGCCTATTTGGCACAGTAACTACTGTGTGCCTATGTGTGCCTTCAAGAGAAAGCTTCATATATTAAGTGTCTAAATGCAGCATATGTTGTGTAAAGAGGAACCTGTGTAGATTAGTACCTTCTATGGCATCTATCAGGATAAAGGGATAACATCAATTGTTGCTACAGAGCCTTTTTTTAATTTCCAAATTTAAATGAAATATAATTATTGTGGAGAACTTTACATTTTTTTCCTTGAGCGATTTCTTTCTTTTCATAGGAGTCTTATTCTTGATAGAGAAACATCCTTAATTAGCATACATCCTGGATGGACTTGCAGCTATAAATTGGCAATTCAGATTGCTGTAGTCTTAATGGAAGAATAAATTTCTGTCAATGGCATAAATTTTGTGTGTGTTTCATTAAAGATTGCTTTTAAGTGATCATTTGTGGGAGAGAGGAAGTGTCTAAAAGCTGGCCAGAGCTCGACTTTTGATTCTTTTTCAGGGTGAAAGGGAGGCTAATGTCACCAAAATTCTCATGAAGTTGAGACTCACTAGGACTAGAGAGTAGGCAGTATAACCCATTTCTGTTGCTTTAGTGTGATTGGTGAACAGTATACTAATTCTCCTTGTTAACTAGCATATATAAATCAATCGAGTCACATAGAACAATATAACATTTGCCCCCCTCATGGAAATTGCCTTGCATGTTTTTCCAAGAAAATCTGTGTAAAAGACTTTGTAAGTATATTTTTTTCTTTATATATTTAAAACCTCTGACCTTATGAAAGGAAGCCAGGGAAGGTTTTTTGTTTGTTTGGTTTTTGCTGATTTGCTTAGCTCCCTCCACTCCACCCCCACAGGTTTTTTTTCCAGCTCAATTTAGAACTGTTCCTACTAAGCTTGCAGTGGTGACTGGTTATGGTACTGACTGGGTCTTGTGTGGATGCTAGCGTTTTTATGTAGGTTTTCAATATATCTATTTTGAGAGAGTCCTGGAGGCACAGAGGTAGGGTTGATATTGTGATTTTGTGTTTTGAGTTTCTAAAACCTTGATGTATAAACGAAAAGTAACTCCTAGGTGTAATAAGTACTTTCATTCTTGTCAATGATCTTTTTTGGATGCTATTTTTAGCTTCATTAAATATGCACATACCATATGATTTACCCATTTAAAGTGTACATTGGTTTATAGTATATTTATAAACATAGGACACCATCACCAGCGTCAATTTTAGAACATGTTCATCACCTCAAAAAGAAACTCTATACACTTCAGCTATTACTCCCCTGTCTCCCATCCTGCCCCTCTCCCAGCCCTCAGCAACTACGAACTTGTTCATAGGTTTCTGATTCAGGACTTTCATATGAATGGAATCATACAATAGACTGGCTCCTTTCACTTAGCATGTTTTCAAGGTTCATCTGTGTTGTAGCATATATCAGTACTTTTTTCTAGTGACTGTATTTCATTATATGGCTATACCAAATTTTGTTTATCCATTTGTCGGTGGACATTTGGGCTGTTTCCATTTTTTAGCTCTTACAAATAATGCTGATAAAATTCATGTAGAAGTTTTATTTCTTTGGGGTACATACCTAAGAGTGGAATTGCTAGGTCATAAGGTAACTCTACATTTAGTCATTTGAGGAACTGCTAGACTGTTTTGCAAACCAACTGTACCATTTTACATTCCCACCAGCAATGCATGAGGGTTCTGATTTCTCAGCATCCTTTAAACACTCATCTGACTTTTGGGGGATGTTTTTATTTTTATTTTCTATGGGTATGTAATAGTTGTACATATTTATAGGGTACGTGTGATATTTTGGTATAAGCATACACTGTGTAATGAACTTACTCTTTTATTCTAGCTATCCAAGTAAGTGTGAAATGGTATCTCATTGTGGTTTTGATTTGCATTCTCTTGATAACTAATGATGTTGAGCATCTCTTCATTTGCTTATTAGCCATTTGCATATCTTTTTTAAAGAATGTCTATTAAGGCTGGGTGTGGTGGCTCATGCCTGTAATCCCAGCACTTTGGGAGGCCGAGATGGGCAGATCACGAGGTCTGGAGTTCGAGACCATTCTGGCCAACATGGTGAAACACCATCTCTGCTAAAAATAAAAAAAATGATCTGGGCATGGTGGCACATGCCTGTAGTCCCAGCTACTTGGGTGGCTGAGGCAGGTGAATCACTTGAACCCGGGAGGCAGAGGTTGCAGTGAGCCCAGATTGTGCCATTGCACTCCAGCCTGGCAATAGAGCGAGACTCTGTCTCATAAAAAGAAAAAAAAAAAGTCTATTAAGATCCTTTGCCCATTTTCTAATTGTTATATGTTTATTGAGTTGTAAGAGTTATATATTCTAGATATAAGTTTCTTACACATTTTCAAATATTTTCTGATTCTGTGGGTTGCCCTTTTGTTATTTTATTGTAAAATATATATAACAACATTTTAGTATCTTAACTTTTTTTTTTTTTTTTTTTTTTGAGACAGAGTCTTGCTCTGTCGCCCAGGCTGGAGTGCAGTGGCGCGATCTCAGCTCACTGCAAGCTCCGCCTCCCGGGTTCACGCCATTCTCCTGCCTCAGCCTCCCGAGTAGCTGGGACTACAGGTGCCAGCCACTACGCCCGGCTTATTTTTTGTATTTTTAGTAGAGACAGGGTTTCACCGTGTTAGCCACAATGGTCTCAATCTCCTGACCTAGTGGTCTGCCCGCCTTGGTCTCCCAAAGTGCTGGGATTACAGGCATGAGCCACTGCGCCTGGCCACTATCTTAACTAGTTTTGAGTATACAAATCAGCGGCATTAAGTACATTCACATTGATTTCCAACCATCACTACTATCTCGAACTTTTTCATCATTCCAATCTGAAACTCTACCCATGTAGAGTTAAAAAAAAAAAAAAAAATCCCAACCTGGGCAACAGAAAGGGTTTTGCAATGTTACCCATAAAAAAAAAAAAAAATTCTCAGCCTGGGCAACATTGCAAAACTCTGTCTCCACAAAAAATACAAAGATTAGCTGGGTATGGTGGTATGAGCCTGTAGTCCCAGCTACTCAGGAGGCTGAGGCAGGAGAATGGCATGAACCCGGGAGGCGGAGCTTGCGATGAGCTGAGATCGCGCCACTGCACTCCAGCCTGGGCGACAGAGCTAGACTCCGTCTCAAAATAAATAAATTAATTAAAAAATCCTCATTTCTTTCTCCTAGTAACCACTATTCTATTATATCTCTACAAATTTGCTTGTTCTAGGTACTTCCTATAAGTGAATCATTCAGTATTTGTCCTTTTGTGTCTGACTTCACTTAGCATAATGTTTTCAAGGCTCATTCATGTTGTAGCATATATCAGAATTTCATTCTTCATTAAGTCTGAATAATCTGTTGTATTCATACCACACTTTGTTATTCATCTATCAATGGACACTTGAATTGTTTCTACCTTTTAGCTATTGTGAATAATGCTGCTGTGAACATTGGTTTACAAATATCTGTTAGAATCTCTTTCAGTTCATTTAGATCTAATCTTAGAAATGGAACTGCGGGATCACATGGTAATTCTTTGTGGCTGTGGCATTTTACATTTCTACCAGTAAATTACAAGTATCCTAATTACTCTACCTCATAGCCAGCACTTGTAATCTTATTTGCTTTTTAAGTATATATATTAGCCATCCTAATGGCCATGAAATGGCATCTCATTGTGTGTGTGGTTGTTTTTTTATTTTGTTACTTTTAGAAAGTAAAAGAATAGTTACTCCATAGGCAGAGTAGCTTCATTGTGGTTTTGATTTGCATTTCCCTAATAATTGATGATGATGGGTATTTCTTCATGTGTTTACTGACCATTTGTGTATCTTCTTTGGAGAAATGTTATTCAGAGCTTTTTTTTTTTTTTTTTTAGTTGGAGTCTCTGTCGCCCAGGCTGGAATGCAGTGGCACGATCTCAGCTCACTGCAACCCCCACCTCCCG